TGCAATGCTTTGATTTTCCTAAATGTTTTGATTTCGCTTAGTCTCTTGCGTGGCTTAGCCTAAACGGAAGTGATCACTTATTAGTTTTATTTTGTTGTTTTAGTTGCTAATAACGAAAATCCAAAATTGCTCTTTAACTATTTTGTGCAAGTTTCCTGTTTGCATATAGTCCTACATCAGTACGGGCTCGTGGTTGTCCTCCCACCCCTCCAAGCCGCCGGCACCCATCTCCCCTTTTCCTCTTGGCTGAAACCCCACCCAAACCTAGACCAACTCCACCTCTCCCTTTTTCTCCTAACCGCCGGCCTAAACCCTCCCCTCTTCCCCTCCTAGCCACCGACCCAAGCTCCCCTCCCCTCCTTGTCGACGACCAAGCCCTAACCCTCTTAGTCACACTCCATTAAACCCTATTCATCCTTCTAGCTGTCGGCCACCTCATCCCTCCCTCCTTTTTTGCTTTGCCTCCAAATTTCAAACTCCAAATTAATACTTTCCATTTTAACTTATTTTAAATTAGGAAGGGTTTTAAAATTCAAATTCCAATTTATTTGAATTTAAATCTCCTTCCTAAAATAGGATGATGTAATTTAGGAAAGTCCCTCCAATCATGCTTTATTTGAATTTTAAATAATATCTTATTTAAATAACTTTTCATATTTTAAGATCCCAAATATAACAATCAATAACTTCTCAAATTAAGCCCCTCATACCCATGCTAGCCGCTGGCCCACCCCATCCCTCTTTCCACTTTGAGAATTTGCCATGACACCTTTCTTCCTTAAATAACAAACTATGTTTGGCAAGCTCTTAAGTGTCCTAAACCATACCCCCAATCAAACTAGCTGCCCCCTTCCTCCTTCCCTTGCCCTTTTTGTTCTTCCCAATTAATTCCCCAATCAATCTTTCCAACTAAAATCTCAGATTTTGGAGGGATTTCACCACACAAGACTGCTGTCCAGAAATTTAAGCAAAAACCATGTGCTGTCCCGCTGTTTGGAAATACTTTGTTTATTGTCCAGAAATTCCAACACTCCATAGTTTGTTGTCCACTCATGTATGACTGATCCTGAACGTGATCACAGCTTCTTTTTCGATGACCAAGGGCTAATTGACATCCTCCTATCTCCGTTCTTCGACTTTGACTTCGAGAACAACCATTTTGTTGAAGAGTACGTGGAATGAATCCTCTTCTCTCTTGCAACCGCTATCGATCAACGACAACCTCCCGTTCAGTGGCAACTTTCTTCCAACTCTTGATAAATGTGAACTCTCTCCTGAATCTCATTTCTTCCAAGTCCTCAATTGTGGCATTACAAAGATCATGCAAGTTTTCTCCGCTTAACCAGTTATCAAGAGTAAGAGGAGTCCTAAGTATTGACTATTCTAAATGTTAATTAAGGGATTTCTTTCGAAAACCCCAAATTAAGCGAAATCTGATTTGATTGGTTATTTTATGCTCTAAATCTTTACCATGTCTTCTATTGCTTGAACTAAATCATTGCTTTAGTGTTTTCATTCATCGTTTAAATTGTTGGAGGTGATTAATTGCTCTTGCTCTTTCAAAAGCATATAATTTCAAAGGTAAAACATCAGCAAACACATTTAGTCATACATCACCATTGCAAACCCTTTTACGAGCCTTTGTAAAGTTTGTCAAGTATTCACAAGCTTTATTATGTAATTTTTTTATTAGATGGAATCAAGATAGTGTGAGAGTAATTGTGGGCAAATATGGCAGTGATTTTGAGCATGCAAATATGAGAAATTAGTGAAAATTTAAATTTGAACTTATTTGTCATCCTAATTTGATTCTATAAACTATTAACATAAATATAAGTGACAGTTGGTGAAATGGCTAATGCATGATTGGGAAATCTTAAACCTAATTGCCTCAATCTTACTCACCAAATTTCCTCTCCCAAATGAGAGAGAGTGAAAAAATAAAAAATAAATAGTTTGCAAGAGCATTCAAAGTCATCTTGGACATTTGGTTTGATGTGCTCAGATTCTTCAAGCATTCGTGGATGCATGAGTAAGAACATTCCCTACTATATTTGGTTTTGTTGTTCCTTTTTTTTTTTGCTACATTATTTTTGTAGAAAGATTTAGAGGCGGTACCCTTGCCCATGTACCAAAGGAGAAGGGTATGATTCCCTTGGAAGAAGTGTGAGATTGTAGAACGCTTTTCCCGACGATGCACGAACACTTCTCCTTAAAAAGGTATGTAGTCTCCGACACATATTGGACACGACCATACTTGTCAATGGCGAATGGCGTACCACGGCGCAAAGTTTCCTGCGGAGTCATTTCGCATAGCGCAAAGGACGACATGCGCCATTTTGAACATTGCGCAAAATAAAAAAAATAATTATAAATCATTATATAGATCCTATTATAGAGTACCAATCAAGTTGGATAAGGTTTGGTTGAATATGTTTGTGGTTCGAAGTTCAAACCATTAAAGTGAGCTTCACGTTCATCATAAATTTTTACTAAAAAAATTCCTAAAATTAATTTAAATAAAGTCTAACTAAACCTTTTTAATCATATCAAATAATTTTAAAATTAATTATTACATTATTTTAGAAATTAAAATATATAAATATTAAAAACTATTTATAATTATATTAAAAAATTTCTAAAATTCAAATTGCGCGTGCCGTAAATAATTGTGCCATGCGCCATTGCACACACATGGCGCAAATTATGCCGGCCAACTTGAACATGTGCGCGGCGCCATGCACCGTGCGCGGCGCCATGCACCATGGCGTGCACCATTTTTTGTCGTTGAAAGTATGGACACGTTATGCATCCGCACTTTGAAGATGTGTTCGATTAAAAAATATTAAAAATAAATTGGACACACATGTTTGATGCACGTCTTAAATATTTTATATTTTTTTTTTTCAAAAATATAATTTCTTATTCTTCAATTTTTTGTTTATTAAAAAAAAAAAACTAAATTTATTATTCCTCTCCATACCCCAAATCAATTGCTTGTGCATACTACCCTATTTATGAGAATTCCTATTTTCATTTCTCTATAGCATATTAAGACCAAGGTTTCACAACAATACACAATACTATCTTAATATCGACGCCCAACACCATCATAGTATCAATATTTTAAAACAATCTCAATATCGAAGCCTGGTGCTATCTTGACATGACGCTCGACGACAGTAATTTCTGCACCCATAATAACGCCCTGACCATATCGACGCCTCATCTTTGCCCAATGACATATCAACATCAACAACTGACGTTTTAACATCAAGGGATAATGTTGTCTTGATATCAATGCTCGATGGCTATGCAAAACATTGCTGCCAATGACCTCTCATCTTTGCCTTTTGCAAAACATCAATGCCCAATGCCTATTGCAAAACATCAAGGAAATCTCTGATTTTGTTGATTTTGTAAATTTCACCTTAGGGATGTATTCTCGACAGCATTGTCGTTTTCCCCCTCGAAGTCCGCACGACATCCACACCTGACTCTGCATATTTGAATATTAATCATTTAAGCACAGATTCTAATTAAATGATTTATTATTTCTTAATTATTCTTAATATTCTACTTATTAATTTCAAAAGATTATTTTTAAGTTATAAAAATTATAATATTGTGTCCAGCTCGTGTCCATGTCCTATAGTTTCAGTAATTGACGTATCATGTGTCGTGATGTGTTTGTGTCGTCGTGTTTGTGTCTTCGTATTCGTGTCTATGCATCATAGGCTTTTCCACTAGCGCAGAGTGGAGTGATGAACATAGGCTCTTAATGCTAAATCACATAAAAATCGTTATTGCTTGGTTTATGTTCTTTGCTGTGGTTTATTTTTATGGCTCGTTTATTTCATATAACTTCTCAAGGTGCTAGGCCTATATATGATTAAAAAAATATAGCTTTAGCTTTGAGTTTGAAATATTTGAAAATTTTATTTGAAACCCAATTAAACTCCCCTCTTTTGTATGGATGAGGTTGTTGTTCTACCTCATTCATAAATGACCGTAAATAATCTTTCTGCCAAAATCTGGTATTCAACTTAAACGCAATAAGATTCTTTGTAATTCCACAATTTATTAACACTTTGTTATTGAAAGAACTTAGCAAAACCATGTCAATTTTGTACCATGTTATTCATTAACTTGATGTCATTTTAACTTGGTACAAGCCACCATTTGGTATGCCATCATTCTTATACAAAGAAAAGGATCAAAATGGTACTTGATTCTTTATGAAGGATCAAAATGATCCCAACGATATTAAAATATCATTTTGGTTCCAAGTCTTTAAAAAATAATCAAAATAGTGTCATGATGAGACTATTTTTGTTTCTCTTTAAGAAGTTGAGGGACCAAAATAATCTTTTAATATAGTTGTTGATTATTTTGCACTTTCATGAAGAGTCAAGGGACCATTGGTCCTTTCCTCTTCTCATAACATTGAATGAACTTTATATTGCTATTACCTTAGTGTGGCATTTACTTTAAGAAGTCACAAGGAAAGGTGCTTGAAAATTCAGAATCTTGTAGAAAATTTTTCTTAGATTGCTTTCTATGTTCTCTCCTGGGATGAAAATGTAAGGTAAAATAAAATGGCTTATTCTCTATTTCTCCTCTCCTTAAGACGGAAGTCTGTCCTTGAAATTATTTCATAAACTCCAAATCTCATTCCTGTACTGTTTTATTGGGCAAATTTCATGTGTAACACAATCTTATTTTTTTATAAAACTAACACCCAATTACATATATTTAAATAATGCCGCTCAAATCTGAAAGAGCACAACAAAATTATAATTTGTATATTTCACTTTCATCAAATTCTCAGTATTGTGCCAAAGGTTCCACAGAAAATGGGTCAACATTTTTTTTTATACAATGCCAGTAATTAGATTTAGTTTGTCTCAGATGATTGATTAGATTCAATTATGTTCTTTCAAATTTCATCAGGATGCCTGCCGAAATATGATGCATTTTGTTTATTACTTGTGCTACAGGTTGACAAATGGTTTAAAAATGCAAGATATGCTGCCATTAAGATCAGAAAGGTTATTTCACCTCAATGATTTCCGTGTTATATACAATTTTAAGGCGTAGCAGTTGTTCAAACTTAGTTTCCATATGTTTCATTATTTCCTACAGTTCTATCAGTTTTCATGTCAGTTTCTTTTACAGTAAAACTTGCATGGTCCTTAAAAACCTGACTTTTTAAAAACCCTGTTTTATCTATATCGCTATATTCTGATAACAGATATAAAAATTAGATTGATTACTATTTTTTTTTTTTATATTTTCAGTTTATACTCTATGGCATATCTTTTTAAAGCTTAATAATAATTATTTATAATCATTTTAGTGACAATTTAATGAATGACTTTAACTGAACTTTTTGATGTTTTTTATTTGGGAGACAATGAAAGCATTATCATAGCTTCAAAAATGGAATATTCTTTCCAAAATGTTGTATCTTTTTAACCATTGGATATGGATATTTTTAACAGAACTACGCTGTACTTTCTTTTTAAGAACGCACTTAACCCCAGCATTTGCTTTAAATTCTTAAACTACTTGATCATGATGGCCACTAAATTTATTTCTTTCTATTATGCAGTTATTTCTTAATAAACATTCTTTTTTATAATGATAAGAAACTAAGCTGTTATCTATTAACTATAATATATTTTCAAGTTAACTTGGTTTCCATATTTGCTTGAGGTTTGATATTGGACTTGTTTGTTTTGCAAGTACAGGAAGAAGCTTCAAATCAACTTTACCATAGATCTGATGTACCAATGGTAGATGAAGGGCATAGACGCAGATCTGATACAGCTGTCTCATTGGACAGCTCTTGCTTGCTTCCTTTGGCATCCATCTTCCACTTACCTCAACATAAGAAGAAGATCCATAGGAGAGAAAATTTGACATCTGCAGCATTCCCTGCAAAGAAACAGAAAGGAGCAGCAACGACGGTACATTCCAGTGCAATTCAGGTGAGAAAACTAATGCAGCAATACAGTGTTCATTGTTGCTTATTCCATTTTTCTCTCTTTTTGTTAATTTCTATTTTTATGTATTCTGCTAAAATCCAAATTTCCTAACTGCCCGTGAGCCTATGACAACCAAACCGCTCAGCAAATGTTCTCCAAATAACTAACAATTGATGCACAAGTTTAGACCAATTTTAATAAATGATCACTCCAGAAATCAAATTTAGGAGTGAGGCAGACAATGCAGTGTTTTAACAATTAAAATTATGTATAATGTATTTCAATACACATGCTTTTTATTGAATCCAATGTTGTATGCGAGAAGTTCATAAGCCCATGGGGGAATGTACGAATAAATATTTATATTAAAAAAAAGACTCGAGAATGTTGACAAAAGGATATCAGATGAGCTAGCCCCTACTGCTAGCTGCAATTGTACAAGTTAAATAACATGGAATTTCAAAGAACAAATAGAAATATTGCATCTTGGATGTTAGGCAGTTCAAAATGAACACTATCATTGGACTAGGGGATAATAATTGCAGGAGCATTTAATGGTATCGGTGAAATGTCGTGACAGATAAGCAAAAAGGAATAGCGGGAAGGTTTCGAATGATTTACATAATTTGTTTGAGCAAAAAAAAAAGTTTCAGTGGCTACTAATGTTTCTCATGGAAATGATAAGCTGCTGGAAATTATCATGGATTTAAAGATACAAACTACTACATTAGCAAAACAGCAGCTGAAGCATGATGTTCGGCATGATGACGTATTTTTCATGATTCTCTTGAAATTTAAATAACTGCCAGCACATCGACAAAGCCCAAAATCGCACGTCAACACATTTTCGAGCACGAGAGGATGAGTTTGGTTGATAGCTATCGACTAGGCCCAAATTTTGGGTGAGTTCTGAATAAGGGGTGAGTACCCTTGACGAATATTTCTGGTGAGAACCCCTTGCCACCAGGGAAGTATTCTGGATGAGTTACTTTGATTAATAGGAGACTTCAGGAGTTCCTTAGGCGAGTTCAAAAGCTGAGTATTGCGAATATAATAAAGCTTGACTCTTGGGAGACTTATTAATTCCTATCTTTAGGCTGTGTTGTGCTTCTTGATGGCTCAAGAAGGGAAGAACACCTTTCGAGTAGGTGCAAACTCCGACAAGACAAGGGAGGGGAAGAAGGAAACTGAAATTTCATTCCATGAAAATACATTACCGCAGAAAAGGTCTATTTATTAATACATAGGCTTTCTTTACAAGGAACATGTGTCTATCCTTGAGGTGTTGTATTTGACTTTCTTCCTCTTCGATGGTAAGCTTTCATGTGCATATTTTTTACTTTTAAGTTGCTCTTCCAAATGTTTAGTCCAATCTGTACATTGTTCTTGAACCATGCTTGTGTCTAGTTGAATATGTTGTTTCTTAACAGGGAGGTTTTGGGTGAGTTTAAGTTTGATGAATATCTAGTCATAGGCAGTCCGAGTTGGTTCTCATATTTTGTGACTTGCAGAACCTGATTTAGGTTCTTATGTTGACTTGATCAACCATACCTAAATAATATGGGTGTATTCCTTTATTTATATTTATAGAAAGATTTGGGAGGCTCATAGTGTGTTGTTGGGAGAGGGCGAGCTGGAGCAATAAGTAAGTTGTTTTTTTTTTTTTTTTTGTGATCTCACAAAGCCTCTCCACTAAACCAAATACCATGATCCTGCATTAACTGGAGGTTCATGTTCTGGATACACCCTCGTATATTGTGGATGCTGAAATGTAGGAATATAGCTTTTATACAAATAGTGTTGTTCATTAGACCCATTCAAATGTCTTCCAGTCTTCTTTCATGTCTATAGCTCAGCAAAACTTCAAAGTGCTTAACTTTGCATTTACCCGATATTTTCTTTAATTCAATTGTTCACATAGATTTGATACCTAGCTTTACTAATTTCAAATCCCATGTTATGGTATAGGCACGAACGCAATCAAGAAATGCAGTGTGGCTTAAGAAGCATACGATAACTAGAGACAGGGATCTTACCCCCAAGAAGATTACCGCTATTGTGCCTGAAGCAGATAAAACCTATATAAATGAGATGCAGATGCTTTGGGTCCTTGAAAGGAGGCTTCATCAACTGAAGCAGCAATTGCTGGCTTGCAAAGATTATAATGAAGTGCAGGCGAAAAAGCTTTCTGGAGAAGAGGCTGTAATCTATGTTCCAGTTGCAGAGGTAAAAGAGAAGGTATCATGACTTGAAAATTTTTTTTCAGAACTTAATATATAAGTATCCGGCTTTACTTAAGGAGCTTCTTCATAACATGCTTGGTGCTCCTATATATATTAAAACAAAAAAAAAAGCATCAGGAGTTGTACAGTTCTCATGTTTTTTGCTCTATTCTGAAACAAAACCTGGGCACGGCAAATATTATACTTAACTGTATATTTACCAGAGAGAAATTCTCATTTAGGGATGATTTTTTGGAGTTGTTTTCGCTTAGATTTCCATTGGAAACTTCAATAGTTGGTGATCTGTCAACTTTTCTAAATATGTTATATTAATTGTAGAAGCATTAGGAAGAGCATCCTAAAACTAATTGGAATAAGGCTTCTATCTCTGAAAGAAAACCCAACTATAGCTTCGGATCTGTATGGGAAAACTTGGATCCACGAAGCATTAGTTTCAGCTTTAAAAGCATTGGTTTCAGCTTTAAATGGTTAAATTTATAGCACTGGTAATGTGGAAGGCTTTGCACCTCCACAACACTATTATATGAAGATTGCTTCGTTTTTTTCTTCGTCTATAATTTCTTCTCTTTTTAGATTTCAATTACAGAAATATTTTTTTGACTATTTTGCGGAGACTTTGATTGTGTTCCAGTTGGGTTAGAGGTTGGAAGTTTTCACAGACTGACCGCCCTGTTTTAGATAAAAGGGGTGTAGTCCGAAATATTGGTTAGTGAAATGACTTTGGGCAGCTTTTGGCCATAATTTTTTTGTTATTTGTTAGAAATTTTTGTACTAAGCTATTTAAGAAAGAGCAGTAAGAAAATTATCCTAAATAAAATTTTAATCTGAGGTTGGTATGATGTAGGATCATTTAATTGGAGCAATTATTCTGAAAATGAAAATCAATGGAGGACCCAATTAGTTCTTTATAGCTGAAGATAAAGTGCATTGCAACACATTAATCTTAAGTGATAATAATTATCATGTTCTTAGACCTTCTGATTGTCACATTTATCATTATTTGCCAAGTCGGATAATAAGGGTCGGAAAAAAATAAGTTAAATTCATCAAAGTAAAAAAATTAGATGAAAGTTTTTTCTTATTATATCTCTAAATTTGAGGGGTTGAGTTTAGTAGGTCAAAGCTTTTGGTTTGTCTAAGTCTTGCTTTGGGCAATTCAAGCCAATCAAGAGCAATGTCTGAATTATCTAAGTAATCACTTTGCTTGTTGAATTTTCTTAGCATCATGAGGTCTTCTAATTTGAATTTCAACATTCAGCGTATTGGATCTCTATGTGAAGTTAAGTCGACCCATTTAGTGGGGCTAGTAGTTTTTGTTATATATCTAGAGACATTGACTTACTCAACCTAGCCCTTAAGAGAGTTTAGATGATCATCTACTATCAAATCCTTTTATAAGGCTCTAGACTAATTCCTCAGAGCACTAATTTAACCATACTTAATCAAGTTAGGCCTAGAGTTTTGCTTTATACTATACAAATTGTAGAACTAAAATGACTTTAGTGGCCTTTTCTTTAGGGAGACTTTTTTAACCCTTGTTTGGCCCTTTTTGATCAGCCTCTCAAGAATTTAGCTCATGATAAGTTCTCTAAGGAAGTCAGTTCTCTATAGCTATTCATATTAATTTCAACCAACATGATTGCAATTTGCTCTGACCGACAACACATTGGTTGACCTTGACTAACATAACTTTGGTTGGTTTTTGCCAGCATCTTCATTTTAAGGAAGTTGTTGCTATATTGATAGTTTTTCTCATGAACTCTCCCTTTCTCAATAAGTTCTATCGAGAGCTCAACTCTCGATGACCTTATTGAACAAGTTAAGCTCTATTCAAATTGATAGCGAGTGCCTTGACGAATGTCCCTTTTTAGATAAAAGGGGTGTAGTCATAAATATTGGTTAGTGAAACGGACTTGGGCTTCATTTGGGATTGCCTTTTTATTGTTTTTTAAAAAAATGCTAAGAAGCTGCTTAAGAAAGCAGTGAGAAAATTATCTCAAAGGAAACTTTGCTGTGAGGTTGCATGATCTTGGATCAGTTAACTGGAGCAATTATTCTGAAAATGAAAAATAACGGAGGACCCAATCAATGTTTTATAGCTAAAGATCAAGTTCATATCAATGTGTACATTGCAACACTCATGAATCTTAAGTGATGATAAGTATCATGTTCTTGTAACCTTTTGATTTTTACCTGTATCATTATTTGTCAAGTTGGATAATAAGGGTGAAAAAAAAAGTTAAATATATCAAATTAAAAGTATTAGATGAAAGATTTTTCTGGTTATATCTCTAAATTTGAGAGGTTGAGTTTAGTAGGTTAAAGCATTTGTTTTGCGTTAAGTTTTACTTTGGGCAATTCAAGCCAATCAAGTGTGGTGTTTGAACTTATCGAAGTAAATCACTTTGCTTGTTGAATTTTTTTAGCCTCATGAGGTCTCCTTTATTGAATTTCAACATTCACCTTATTGGTTATCTATGTGAAATTAAGTTGACGCATTTAGTGGGGCTAGTAGCTTTTGCTATATATCTGGAGACCTTGACTTACTCAACCTAGCCCTTGTGAGAGTTTAGATGATCATCTACTATCAAATCTTTTTGGAAGGCATTAGACTAATTGCATCAAAAGCCCTAATTTAGCCATACTTAATCAACTTAGGCCTAGAGTTTTGCTTTATACTATGAACATGCAAATTGATAGAACTAAAATGACTTTAGTGGCCTTTTCTTTAGGTTAACTTTTTTAACCCTTGCTTGTCCATTTCAGTAATTTTCTCACGAATTTAGCTCGTGATAACTTCTCTAGGGAAGTCAATTATGTATAGCCATTCATATTAATTTCAGCCAACATGATCGCAATCTGATTTGACTGACAACACCCTAGTTGACCTTGAATGACACTTCTTATTTTTAAGGAAGTTGTTGTTATATGGAAAAACTTTCCTTAGGAACTCCCTCTTTCTCGATAAATTCTCTTGAGAGCTCCACTCTCGATGACCTCATTGAAGAAGTCAAGTTCTCCTCACATTGAGAACTCACCCTTTCTTGATGTGTTCTCCTGAGAGCTCTAATCTCGACAACCACCTTAGGGTGATTGACTTCTATACAATTTTGGTTGGTTTTGGCCTATTCCTTTCCTTTAATGGAAGATATCACATTAGTGACTTGTCTTGAGAAATTGTCCCTTCTCTGAGTTCTTCCAAGAGCTTGATTGTTGGTGAACTCCATATAGCGCCTAATTTTATTATTATTATTATTTAAAGTTGTTATGTTTACAACTTGTTTTGAGAACTCATTCTTTCTTGGTCAGTTCTCTTGCTACTTTTGAAAACTCTTAGGTTGGTCAACTTATACCGTTCAAATTGACCATGCCTACTTCCTTTTATAGAAAGTCACTATATTGACAAGTCACCATCTTTTTTTAGGCTAGTTTCATTTTAAAATGGACTTACAATGTACCACTAAAGTAAAAAAACTGAATTATGTGGTGTATGAAATGGATATCAAGTTAGTTAAACCATTGACCATATCTCCATAGAACATAAAAGAAATTAATTGTTTTTGAAGTATTGCTCTAAAAAAAATAATGCATTACTTTCATAAAAAAATCAAGAATTTTATGATTGATTTCATATTGTTTATCAAATTAATAATAAAAGATGTAGTGTTTAAGCATCTACTGAGTATCCAAGCCAATCTTGTAATATAAATAAAGAGGAGAAATGAAAATTTGATTGAAGTAATTCATACATATCAAATAAATAATAATAATTTATAAAAATTGGTGCTATTGGATTATACACTAAACAAAACACCACTAGAAA